AACATGGTGAGGAGGCTTAAAATGCCAATCTCAGTTGGGCCCAGGAATTGAATGAAAGGATGAGTGAGCAAGACTTTGAGCCCCTATTCTCTACTCTGACCAGGGAAATTCTTCTTTTGGTGTTTTACTTATTAGAGTTCATTTTTTGAAGGTTCAACTGCTAAATAGAATAAAATAAACCTAGCCTACATGATCAAGTTCTGATTCCTTGGGTTGGCACCCAACCCACCCCATGACCTTCCATCAATCTCTTTCTAGTTTTACCTCCCAAGACCCTGTGACTCGGGTACCTAGCCCAGGGTACTGAGTGAATGGCTTCATGAATGATGGATTGCATCAGCAAGCATACTCTTGCCCATACACGCCCTGCTTATAACTTGCAGCTATGGCTTTGCCTTTTCTTTTCCTTTTTTAAGAATGCCCTTTCCCATCGTCTCCCATACAAATTCATTTATGGTGTAATTTTCTGGTCTATGCCAACCACCAGTGATTTCTTCCTTCACTAATTCTTAAAGAACATATTGTTTATAATACTTTCAGAGCCATTATAACGTCCTGCTTTGAACTGTTATGTAATGTATTATACCCAGGTATTTTGCCTCTGTAATTGGACTACAAGCTTTTCAATGGCAGGGAAATCTTACACTTTTTTTAGTCACCATTCTTCCTCATCATCTCCCAGAGCTTCTATTTCACTCCAGTTTCACATTTTTCAAACAATGATTTAAGAGTTTGTTTTGGGCCGGCCGAGTGGCGCGTTGGTTAAGAGCTGGCTTGGGAGGCCAGAAGGCCCCGGTTCGGATCCCACATATGAGGGCCAGTGACACTGCCCTCTACAGCTAAGATGCTGAACAACAGCTCGACCTGGAGCTGGGCTGCTGTGAGTCGCTGGTGAAGGGTAGGCTGCAGCCCCTGCGGCAGTAGGTTGCCATGGGCTACTGTATGTAGCCAGCAGCCAGCGTGAGCGGCCAGCAGCCGCAGTGAGCGGCTGTCCAGAAGCCGGCGACTGATCTGCCTCGCCCGGGAAGAGCGCAATGATGGTGCCAACTTGGGCCAGTGAAGCAACGTCCTCCACATCTAGACTGAAGAACAAAAGGACAGCAACTTGTCTGTTCCCTTTACCCCAATTCCGCAATAAAAATCTTAAAAAAAAAAAAAAGAAAAAAGAAAAATAATGACGGAAAATGTTTGAAAAATAATGACTGAAAATGTTTTTAAAAAAAAGGAGTTTGTTTTACTGCAATACCTATATTGCAATAAAGTGAATTTTATTTAAATATATGTATATACACACATGATAAAGTTATAGAAATACATCTTTAAAGAACACCCACAAATAAGGTAGTTACTTAAAAATTCTTAGAAAAAAATGTTAATGCTGATTTCTTTTCTCAGTAAAATAAAAATAGTCACAGTCAAGTTTACCATTTTTTATCTTGTTGTTTCTTTGTATTTTTTTCAACTTCCTTTGTTTAAATGAGATGGAAGCAACCTAAGGAAATTTGTTTTTCATGCCCCATTGAAGTTTAAAGCAATGCTAATTTTGTTAAAATCAGTTTTTAATAAACAATATCTGCTTGCTTTGGGTGTCTGATCAATGTTAAGTGGGTGAAATTTCTAAAGTGCTGATATAATAATGACTACAGGTGCTTGCTTCGGCAATACATATACTAGAATTGGAACGATACAGAGAAGATTAGCATGGCCCCTGTGCAAGGATGACACACAAATTCGTGAAGTGTTCCATATTTTAAATAATAATAATAATAATGACTACAGGAAGATATAAAACATTTTATCATGTGATTAGTTAAAGGTACAGAGTTTGACCAGGTGTGACATAGACATTTAGACATCATATAAGCTCAAAGGTGTACAATAGTCTTTCATATAGTGGAAAATTTTTATGGCTGAAAAAGTAAAGTACTCATGGAGAATTTGCCTTGGCTATCCACCCAGAATTTCCTAATATGCAAAAGGGAACCAAGATAACTTTGTAGCTTTAAAGGTAAGTGAATGAAGTGGGGTCCTCATTTCCTGGTTCATTATATTAGTATGACTTCAGAAACATTAACCTTTCCCACAGATTGTTTGAGTCTAGTCAAAATTGCATAACTGATTTTATATCTAAACACTGATAGATAGGGTAGCACAGATTATGTTGTCCTCTTGTTTGCTTATAGTGTTCCTAGAATTTAAATTAAACATTACTGGGCTCTGTTATTCAGAAGCCTGCTTTCTTTAATGTAATTGTTTCTCTTTCAGTAAAATGATCAACCTATCAGTACCAGACACAATTGATGAAAGAACAATCAACAAAAAGAAACTCACTCCTTTCACAATTCAGGTATGTCTTCACTCTGTTACCTTTGTACAGGACTGTGCTTGGACTGAATGTGCACCAGAGCTGTTGAGTCAGCCTTGTTCAGGCGCTCAGACATTATTTCCCAAACCCAGGCTTTGGGCTGGTGATTTGTTATGACTAGTGGGGATACAGGGACACGTTTCTGTTTTGTCTTTTACTAATATAACGGGTGGAGTAGGGGGTATTAGAGATAGGAGAAGTTTAGTGGAGTGTTAGTAGTTGGGGAATTCTTTGTTTGTTTTGGCCATGTTGGCTGAAATAAAATTCACATTGGCTAAAGTTTTAACTCAAACTTTCCCTAGCAATTTATCTTTGAGCTGATGCCAAATACACAGCATTTTAGCTGAAAAGATAAGCCTTTTTAAGAAGTGAGGCAGTGAAAAACGGGAAGTGCTCTGGCAGCCTTCACAATGCTACTGGCTGCAGCCACCAGTGCGATAAATATAATTTGCTTTTATGCCTTCAGTGTGTTGATTAACTGGAACAATAATCAGCAGTAAGTAAGCTGTATTTCTATGTTGGGTTCCAGTATTTTAACATTATTGTAATTCACTCGCTCAGAAGCCGTATCTCACTTCTTAAATCATGAACAATATATTACATCCTGTTTGGATTTAAGCAACTCTGTGTACTTTTAAAATGGAACTGTTCACCAAAGAGAACAATGATGATTATCTCTATGTGAAAGCACTTAATGTTAAATTTACATGTAATCTTGCTATAATGAGGGATGATATTTTTGACTCATTATTTGAGCTCTATACTAGGGCAAAACCCACTTTTCTTTCATAGCTACCTTCCCAATTCACTGGTGGCCTGTATTTTGTTTTGTTAATTTGTCATAAAACCAACCTCTATACATCTCTGACTCTGATGTCATCTCCTTTGTGGACCCAAGAATAGTCTATATAGATTCTCGTCTGAAAATTTCATTGACTCTATTCCAACTGTACCTGAATTTACATGCATTGTTGTTAGTGATAAGAACATATAATCTATACACATGTGTGCATGTGTGTGTGCACACACATGTATGCTTGTGTAGATGTGTTTGTACTCAAGGTCCCTAGATGTTATGGATACTCAACCAATTGTCTGAATAAGAACCACTCTGTCTTTTCTAGGAAGTTGATTTATATCGTTTTCATTCCTTTAATACTCAATCTGAAAGTCAAAATGCTGTTTTCTTACTCTCTTTGGTGACCTTGATCATCAACAATTGTGTTATTAATGATAGCTAGTGACAAAGCAATTAGGGTATGTCCTACCCTCACAGGTGCCCCTTTTGTTACTGGCTGACGGAACTGTCAAGAGTGAAGGCTCCAAAACAGAGCAAGATGGAAAAATATAAGACTTATTTGTTCCATCCTAATCAGGATGGGCCTTTGACTCAGGGTTCTGGTTTGATTGACAGGGCATGGCATAAGCCCTGTGTCTGGGTTATTGGATTTCCTTTTCCAGTTACTACTCACTGCCTTTTCTTAGTGTTAAAAGTCTAGTGAAGATGGTGCTTCCAGACCTGTGAACTTTCCAGAAGCAAAACATTATTGCTGCTGCCAATCAGCAATCATCATTTGGCATCTGCAAAGTCAAAAACAAAACTTGCATACTTTTTCTCCCCCAGGAAAATTTGAACCTGGCTCTAAACTCTGCCTCAGCCATCGGGTGCCATGTGGTCAACATCGGTGCTGAGGACTTAAAGGAAGGCAAGCCTTACCTGGTCTTAGGACTTTTGTGGCAAGTCATCAAGATTGGGTTGTTTGCCGACATTGAACTCAGCAGAAATGAAGGTACAAGCACAGCTTCAACTGTTATTAATGTCATGGCTTTTTATTAATGCATGTGTTAGGGCTGTAGAATGAAGATGTCAGGAATAGTCGAGCTCAGAATCCTCAATGTTTGAAAATATAGTTATACTGAACTCATTGTATTAATGTAACAGATTTTATCCACATTGACCAGATTTTTTACAACAATGGAGTAAAAGCTTTTTAAGACCACAGACTGATAATAATGCATATTTAGAACCTACAGCTCAATCTAGCTGTCTGCAGCTCCAACCTCATTCTGAGTTAACTTTGCCTTTCGACACTTCATAACAAATAAGCCTACTTTTAACTTTTATGAAGCAGTTCACATTCATTTATCGCAGTGATAGCAACAGGTTAGGAAAAACTTGGTCTATTTCTCACCAAGACAATAGAAAATTATATTTAGGGTTTCAAAGTTCTCAATGAAATACGTAGCTGTGAATCTTTTTCTGTTTGCTTTCAGCATCCTATCTGCATTTAAATAATCACAGCCCTGTCCTTTAGACAGAAGTAGTAGATCTTGATAAGTATTATATAAAACACAATGTTACTTTTTGATTCTTAGGTTCAGATCCTACCAATATGAAATCTATAGCCAAATGTTAATCTCTATACTTTATATAATATATATATGTGTGTGTGTGTATATATATATATATATATTTATTTAATGTCCAAGTCATAATAATCAGTGAAGAACTCCAGGGTAACATAAAACCAATATATTAAATTTATATATAAATGGAAAAACAACAACAAAAAAAACCAACACAGAAGTCAGAACCCCCGAGAAAGACTATTGATTTGTAAATAATGACCTCGGCTAAATTTAAACCTTCTGGCTGAGCAAGAAATATTTATTCATCTGGGAAACATAGAGGAAAGAGTTGATTATATTTTTTAAGATGCTATAATTATTCAGGTAAGCATTTGAAATATAAAACACTTATGGGAATAGACAAGAGAACATTGTCATTATTACAAAATTGATCTCTTAAAAGCAAAAATGTTGTCATCTCATGAAATGTGGTCTAACAGACCCAGCAGAGCATTCTGAGCCAGCAGTCTTGGTTGTTTCCGAGGCTCTGCCCCGGCTTTCTTAGGCATACATAGCATTGAGGTTCCCGGGTGCCTTTTCTTCCCCATCTGAAAAATAAGGATAATAAATCAGCACACTGTAGCCTACACCTCTTTTTAGGGAATAATAATAATGAAGTGTTTATTTACTTATAAGAAAAGCTGTAAGTACTTTTATCCCAGAGAGATAATGTTGCTATCTTTGGCTTTCCTGCAGAACTCAAGGAAAGTTATAACTCACTCCCCAATACTCTCTGCACACATCTCTCTTTGTCTTTTGTGCTTCCTCAGCTCTGATTGCTCTTCTGAGAGAAGGGGAGAGTTTGGAGGATTTGATGAAACTCTCCCCCGAGGAGCTCCTGCTACGATGGGCTAATTACCACCTGGAAAACGCAGGCTGCACCAAAATTGGCAACTTCAGCACCGACATCAAGGTAGGAGTGGAGTCTGAACGAGACTGCAGCAGTGAAGGGAGTTTGGGCGTTCATCTCTCCAGACGCGCTAGGGTTAGTTAGAGCGCTGCTGGTGCTGCTGTGGAGCCCCCGCGGTTCTCAAGTTCATGTGCAGCTCTAGCACTGGGCCACGCGCAGATCCGTCACAAGTCCTGTCCACTGACTGCACAGCGACAAAGGGAGATGGCTCGCCCTCGGAGTTTCCGTATCAGGAAGTAAAAGGGCGAGGATGAGATAGAGGAAGGGCAAGAGATGACTGCTTTTCAAGTATGTGTAGGACTGTAATGTCTTTTTCTGGTTTTATAAGTGAGATCATTAGATCGGGTTTCCTTTAAACAAATTAGACGAGGACTCCTCTAATTGCATTAATACTAGCAAACATTGTGTCTACTGCATGCCAGGCACTGTTCTAACTGCTTTACACGTGTATTGACTCATTAATTCTCACAACAAACCTTTGAGATAAAGATTATTATTTTCTCATTTTACAGATAAGGAAACTGAGGTACAGAGAATTTAAGTAACTTGTTCAAATTCACATGGCTGGGGGTGGGGTCAGGATTCACAGCCAGCAGTCAACCTCCATGGTCCATGTACTTGACCAACATACATACTGCCTATGTAAAACGACTCATGAATTTATTGAGAGGTTTTCCTTTGTATGAGCCAGAGTGATTTTTAAAAGAGAATGATTCTGGAAACCACCTGCAATGAGAATTTATCCCAGAGCATGTAGAAAACTCAATCAGTCCTACAACAGAAATCCAAAAGGGGTAAGGCTGAGGAAAGCATGCACTGTGGTTACTGCTGTGGATTTTCAATTTTGTGAAAAGTTTCATGTCAAGGCGAAAGGAAACAGCTGTTGACAATTGATGACAGGTGGACAAAGATAGAAAAAGCTTAAGGAACAGTAAGGAACGTCAGAAAGCTGTCCCAAGGAGCAAATGGTGTGAGATGATGGATGCAACATTAAAAAAAAAAAAATTGGTCTCTACTTGCTCAAAGCTTAAAGAAATGTTTTCCAAGGAGAGTCAGAGGGAAGGTCACATGACTCACCAGAAGTCAACCCAGGTTTATAATTCTTTGAGTGATGGCTTCTACCTGCTGTGGACTCCTGGCTTTTAGAACTCAGGGTCTGTCAGGCATGGTGCCAGTTAGAGTGAAGCCTCTAGATGTTAAGTCCCCCATTCCCTAGGACCCAAGCTAATAAAGCCAGATTCATTTTTCTAACTACATCACTTTCACTGATGATTAACAGTCTTCTAGCACCACCAACCAAACTGGGATTTAATGGGAGCTGGAAAGTATTATCTCCCTTTGTGCTCAACAGTTAAGCTCTGCGATTGTTTCAGCCAAAATTTTCAAGCTTTTCAGCAAGTTAGGCTGCTTAATCTAAGCCATAAATTTACCTGATTTCCCATCACTGAAAGGCTGTGTTCTTTAAAATAATAATAATTTTGGACTTGGGAAGTATCTGTATGAGAGGGGAGTGGCAGGCGGAGCACTGACAGAGTGCTTCTGCCTGTTCTTAGGGAGAGCCGCATCCCAATCGGGGTCAGCGCTGTGACGTGTGTATCTGAGCAACAGGCAACTTTGGGAGGTGCCCTTCAACCACACCAAGTCAGCAAAGGTGGGGAGAACGCCCACACTAGAGTGAGTGAGAAAGGTTTCTTAGGATCAGATGAAATGAGGCGACTCTTCGCAAGGCTAAATAGATGTAACATGTGGTAGACAGATTTTATTCGTGCCTAACACCTTCATGGAACTTTCACTGACTTCAAAATAGCTACAGTGAAAAGTAAGAGGAAGGCAGAAAGAGGTGAACCTCGGTTCCCCAGGTGCAACATCAGTGGCTGGCATTGTCTTATTCTCATCTTTCTATTGTCACAGGTGGTGAGCATATCTCTGCTCTACCCAGGCCCTACCTAGTTGGAAAAACAAAAAAATAACAACAGTTGATTTTTCAGTTTTTAAGAGAAATTAAAATCTCTTTAAATGGTTTAAGTAAATTACCTGAAAGTCTGCATGTTTTCACTGAGAATACATTTATAATTTTAAGACTGTAATTTTGAGAATTCTTTTTGTCAATAAGCATATTTCCAGAATGTAAGAAAACATGAGCATTCAATACCTTATCCAATCTGCTATAATGAAACTTAACCACGTTTTCTAGCTTCTAGATAAACATTACATTCACTTATCATTTTAACATTTCTCCTCTTATATAGACTGCTTTTTAAAAATCTTTCTCTTTTGCTGATTATCCATTTAAATGTATTTTTAAACTTTGCCTTAAACTTCTGCTGCCTTTTTCTGTTGCTTTTTTAAAAATTAAACCTTAGCTGACTGACTTTACAGCAATATAAAGGTATTTTTTTCTGTATGTAATTTAATATGTGTAAATAAATTTTTTTCTCCCCTAAGGACAAAAGAATAGTATTTGCATCTTTGGGTTGCCTTTTGTGTATGTCCTGTATTTTCAATTGTTATACTCATTTTAAAAAGAAAGGAAATAGAGTATGTAAACAGACAAAGAGAAAATTCAAATTAGTGAATGTTTTCAGCTCTATTAATTAAGTTGCATTCTTGAATGATAGTTGAGTAAAAAATGAAATATTTGCTTTTGGAAAATTATTGTCATGCTAAGTATTTAATTTGAAATTGTAATTTCTTAATTTCTCACAGGACTCCAAAGCTTACTACCACCTGCTGGAACAGGTGGCTCCAAAGGGAGATGAAGAAGGAATTCCTGCTGTTGTTATTGACATGTCAGGACTGAGGGTAAGACCCTGTTTTGTGTTTCGAGCTGTGTTTAAAGAATACGATGCTGCCTTTGCATTGATGGTTCCATTGACCTGTATGACCCCGACTCTGGGGTTCTGTGAGTGATATCTCTGCCTAGAGCCCTTTTAAAACCATTAAAACCTGTTAACAGTTTTGGGTAATAATTATGGGAAATTGAATCTGGAAATAAACATTGAGTAAAGAAAGAAACTAATACCAATGAAATGCCACTCACCATGCTAGGCACTTCTGTATATGTCCCATCATTTGATAGGCTCTCCAGCCCTAAGATGTATTATTACTTCCATTCTTAGGTACCTGAGTATTATTTCTGAAAATAGATGGGGTATTTATACACATAAATAAATTCTCACTTTAGTAATAAAAAAAAGGGTCCAAGATCATATGACATATTATTAGAAGTTATTTGATCCAAGGCTGCGGTTCTAGTAATAATAAAAAGAGGAATCCCCCACTTGCTGAGTTCCTCCAGTGTGCCAGGTACTCTGGGAGGCGGGTTATATACACAGCCTCTAATTCTTGCAAACATCACTCAGGTAGGTGTTAAACATAGCTGAGAAACCTGAAAGTCAGAGAAGCTAACATGGCCACAGAGATGTACCTTGCACAGCAAGGATCTAAACCCAGAATGGCTCCACATTTCATCCAGCCACAGTCCTACCTCACTACACCATTGGAGAACAGGTCTGGGCAGGAACATGTGAGTTCTTAGAAGTGTCTGGTTTGGGGGCTCCTAAAAGCAGTGAGCACAACATGGGTGTGAATGTTAAAACTTCAGTTTTACCACCACTTTAATACTGACCTTGAGAAATCACCAGACCCATTTTCGTGCTTCACTTAATATCATTAGAGTTAAATCCAACAAGTTAATTTTAAAATTAGCTCATTCCTGAATGAAAAGTAAAGCTCATAAAATGTTTAATGTGTAATGTTCTCTAGTAAAGAATCATAGTAAGGGGGTCGGCTGAGTGGCTCAGTTGGTTAAGAGCTCGCTCAAGAGTTTGAGTTCTGAGCAACAGCGGTTTGAGTCCTGGCCCGAGCTGAGCAGCCGTTGAGCTGCCAATAGGTGGCAGGATGACTCAGCTAAAAAAAAAAAAAAAAAGAATCATAGTAAGAAATAATTCCAGTTTAGGGCCGGCCGAGTGGCACATTGGTTAAGAGCTGGCTTGGGACAACAGAAGGCCCGGTTCGGATCCCACATATGAGGGCCAGTGACACTGCCCTCTACAGCTAAGATGCTGAACAACAGCTCAACCTGGAGCTGTTGTTCAATGCCTGAGTCTCCGGCATTGGCGTAGGCTGCAGCCCCTGCTGCAGTGGGTTGCCATGGGCTACCGTGTGTAGCCAGCAGCCGCAGTGAGCTGCCATCCAGAAGCCGGCGACTGATCTGCCTCACCTGGGAAGAGCGCAATGATGGTGCCAACTTGGGCCAGTGAAGCAACATCCTCCACATCTAGACTGAAGAACAAAAGGACAACAACTTGTCTGTTTCCCTTCCCCCAATTCCCCAGCGCTGTTCCCATCCCCCAATTCCCCAATTTAAAAAAAATCTTAAAAAAAAAATAATAATTCCAGTTTAAAGTTCTGCTTTCTGAAAACTCGTGCTTTCACAGGCTCTTGAGAGTTTTAAGGACAGTGGGCCATAATTCAACAAAACCTCTAGTCTTCTAAGAGTCTGCTTACAAACGACTGGAGTTTTTCTAGAACTACTTGAATAGACTTTTAATATGTTAATGAGTGGCTCTCAATCTGAAGTCTGAAAAAGCCAAGTTGATATTATGTATTTATTAGTGACAGTGGTATCTTAAATAA